TGAGAGAAATGGGTCCCGTTACCAGAGGTAGAGAAGAGATGTTGGGGCAGACAAACACATGAGTCCGCAATGTCTTATCTGTGCTTATTGTCAAGCTAGGCATGATGAGAGAGAACACTGCAGTGTAGGGTGTGCTTTGTCATTTTAGGAAGTTGACCATCAAGACCTAATCAATGAAAAGTTAATAATTCAACAAATCTTAGATGTGAGAAATGAGTGGAATAAAGAATAAACACTAAGCCCTAGCCAGTTTGGCTCAGTAGAGCGTCAGCCTGCGGACTGAAGGGTACCAGGTTCCATTCTGGTCAAGGGCATGTACCTTGGTTGTGGGCACATCCCCAGTGGGGGGTGTGCAGGGGGCAGCTGATCGATGTTTCTAACTCTCTATCCCTCTCCCTTCCTCTCTGTAAAAAATCAATAAAATATATAAAAATAAAAAAAATAAAAATAAAAGAATAAACACTACGAGTTTGGGTTGGAGAGAAAGATCACTGTGTGTGATTTCAGCGCTTAGAGGATTCGTCATCACCTCTGATGGGAGGAGAAGATGAAGAGAACCTGTGCCCAGCGCTGTGATCAGGGTGTGGCTCGAGGTCCAGCTATCTGATACTGTGTGGTCCTCTCACCTCTTTAGGCTTTCATTTCCTTGTTTGGGGAGGGAGGGTGTTATTGTGAGAATATTATTATTTGGAAATTAAGTTAGATCATTGATGGAGAAGTTCTAAACTACTACCCCTTAACTCACTCCACAACTGAAGCAGCTAAACCCAAGAACATCTACACACTGAAGAAAGGCATGTAACGTATTAAGGCATTCTGCTACCACTGTCTGGGTGGAGGTAACACCAACACCCAGATATGAGCAGGGAGAGAGGAGCTGGGTAATCTTGAATATTCACTTGCTATTCTTCTGTGGGAGTACAAAATGGGCACCTTTTTGCCACTTTCCTTCTCCAGTTGCCCACCATGTGGACTGACATCACATCACTGACTCCATCCAGGCCTAACAGTCAACTAGGAAGGGACTTACCCCTTTCATCAGACTCTTTAAAGAAAAGATTGACATCTCTTAAAAGGATGTCATATATATGTATCTCTGAGATGACTCTAATAACGCGATCATAGTGAAAAGGGAAGCCAAGAAATGTCCGTGGACACTTGTAATTATTTCTCTTCAAATACACAGATATCGGGGCAGATCTTTTGTATAAAGAAGAACTATTTCAAGAGGCTGTACTCAGAGAACGTGTTGCACTAGCAGAAGCTGATTTGTGGGCTCAGGTAAAAAGTTGCAAATCAAGCTAAGTTGACCTTTCTTTCACTGTTTGGATTTGTTGGAAACAATATAGTCAGGCAGAACTGGTGTTAAATCCTGGCTACCTGTGGGACCTTTGGCAAGTTCCTGAAACTGCAAGGTTAGCACTGTTGGGATGTGTGAGGGCATCTGGCCCACGCAGACAGTTTGCTGTGGGAGGTGAGAGATGGGAACAGGGCAAGTAATAGAGGCCCATGGTGTTTGTTAATTTTCAGTAAACATAAAAAGCTATTATACTAATAAATAAATGGACTCTTTCTTTCAAAGGCTGATGAACGCCAAAAGCAAGCAGTGGAGAAAGCACTTGAAGAAGCAAATGACAAACATAAAATCAACATTCAGATTCTGGAAGAGGAACATCAAAAAAAATTACAGGTTTTTATAGTGGCTTGTTGTCTTTTTAAAAGTACTGAAATTACTAAAAGCTCTGACAAGGGAATAATGTGTAAGATCTAGACAGGTGTCTCTGGAGGTTGTCGGGGAGGTCCCGGACTGTCACAGAAGAGATGCTGAACACTCAGTGGGCGCAGAATCCCACAACCTTTGGGGTCATAAACCCAAACCTTTAGGGGTTTCCAGGCCCCAAGGAGCCGCCCCTGCCCCCCTGACCTACCACATCTCTTACCGCTTGTTCTTTCCCTCCTCTCACTGCTCCTCGGACCGGAACGCACCATGCACCTCTCACCTTAGTGCCTCCTGGGTTGTGCTTCCTGCGCTCCCTCAGATTTAGTTCAAACATCACTACGCACAGGAAGCTTTGCCCACCAGCTCTGCCCTCCCCCCTCACCCCCTACTCCCCTATATACTGTCCTTGACAACCCCGTCCGCTTTCACAGCAGTTGCCACCCGTCACTGTTGTAATTGGATTGTGTGACCGCTTGTTAAGTGTCTGATCCCCACTTGACTGCAGCCTCCACGAGGGCACGTCTGTCTCGTTACCATCTGGCCCAGTGACCAGCACCGGGTCTGACTTAGCGCTCAGACAGGGTTAAACGAAGGAAATGGGCTGTTCCCTTTCTTCTCCTGGGCTCTCTGATCCTATCCTTTTACCTAAGTCTGCACTGAGCTGTTTCTCAAGTATTTTCTTCAAGACCAGAGCTCATGCAATAGGAGTGGGGGGGCGGGGTGCAGGTGCGGGGAGATGCCCTTTCTAGCTTGTTCAAGCACAGGACTGTGGGTAATAAGCAAATGTCCAGCAGAGGCCCAGGGACTGGTTGTTTAGTTCGGTACCTCAGCTACCAAGTCTGCTGGAGGAAAAGGTACAGAGCTGTTCTCACATATGGCCAGGAGGGCCAGGACAGGACACAGCACAGATGTGGTGATTCATGGGCAGAGGCGGGAGGGAAAGTGGCAGAAGTCTGGCTCCAGGTTTGGCCAAAGTTAATAAGAACATAACTGATAAGTTTGGGGCCCGGGGCCCGTTTGTTCATTGTTGGGCAGCGGTACCTTATATCAGATCTGTACTAGGTGAGATCACACAGACTGTCCTTGTCCTCAGAAAACTTGCCAGGAGAGAGGGCCGTCTGCTCCACGGTTCCTAAAGGTGCGGGGCCCTCCCTCCCTGCTAGGCTCAGGGCCAGGGCCCCTGCGGCGTTGGCTGCTGGTGGTCCACTGTCCGTCCCCTCTTTCAGTTCAACACGTAGAGCATTTACAGCATGTCTAGGAAGGCCTGCTTCTCAGCTGGCCTGTCCCATCCGGCCACACTGGTTCTTAAAGTATTGAAATACTTCTCTGTCGGTTGATGACCACCCCTCAGACCCCCTAATACTTCGGTCACCCTGGTTGTTCCCCACTAGGCCCTGGGTCTCCCCAAATCCTGCAGTTTAAAGGGGCAGCACTTTAACGTGGTAGGGGGCTCTAGGACCCTGCCCTGGTGCGCAGCGAGAGGATACACATTTTGAGTATCTCTCCTGGCATTAGGTTGTGAAGACACAAAGATAAGTTAAATGTCATGCCTGTTCTTCAAGTAAAAGATTGTACTCCATATAGCCTGTGGGTAGAGTTGGTGCACTTAATGTTAAAATAGAAGTCCTAAGAAGATTTAAAAGGGAAAAGTTAAAGGCTGACCTTTCTAAAATATTCGTCAAGGAGGGTTTAGGAATTTACATTTATACTGCTGTCTCAGGGGTGTTTTTATATCACGCAGGCGTGATTTGTCTAAGAGGGATGTGTAGGGTTATTCATCTGTCATAGATGTCAGTACTGCTCAGGGACGTCCATGAACCCCCTGCCTTAGAACCTACTCACCTGGGAGCCTAACGTGCAGATTCCTGGGCCCCCTGACCTACAGACTCGCTGGCAGTGCCATGAACCAGCAGCCTGTGTGATTCTCACATATTAAAATTTGAGGTTATCAATAAATAGAGCAGAAAACCGAGTTCTTTAGAACTAAATGCCATTAAATTCTTATCTGTACAGATCACCAGGTATTGCTCTAATAGGATGTAAAGGATTTGGGTAAGTCTCGAATGCTTGATGTTAAGTAAAACTTCAAGATCTGATCCAATGGAGATAGTATTTTGAAGAAATGTTTATATTCTCTTAGTCAAATACAGTAATATCAAAAAGTAAAAGAGAGTGGGAGCTAAGAGAAAACAAGAAAAGAAAAATTAGAGTAGGAATTACAATGAAGTCGGTGAATTTAAAACTTAAAAAATGTGTGTATTCCATGAGGTCCTGGAATTGGGCCTTGAGCTTTCTGGCAATCAGTGCCAGGAGGACAATGCCATGAATCCCTACATCCCTGAGGTAGAAAGAAACCAGGCACTCAGAGAGGCCCAGGCATTCCTATGTGTGATCTATAAGAGAGACTGCTGAGAGAGACGTTGTGTGTCTGTCAAACATCTGTGCAGTCAATATGATGGATCTCGTGAGGCCATTTCTTACAATATGTCAAAATTATAATATCTCTTTAAATGCACTCAAAATGCATTTCAGTAAAAGTAATTTAATCAGGGGACTTTCCACTGAATAAGAGCACTGTCAAGCAGTAGTTCCTTGAATTCTTTTTGTAACTTTAACCGTTTGAGTCCCAGGGGGTATTGAAAAAAGCACTGTCGAAGAATCCCAAACAGCGCATTGTCCACAATGTTCGAAATGTGCTGGGTTTTCTCGACATAAAATCTCAGCAGCGCGATCGCGCTGCTTGGGACTCAAACGGTTAAATATGTATTTTGCATGCTATGCGAGGCAGTGAAATAAATTATTTTGGTTTGACTAAGTTATTACATAAAAGAGGGAATGGGTTTAATTCTCTGAATCCTAATTCAGAACCCAGCCAAAATAAAGGCTTGGGATGTCATTTTCAAATTCTGTGATTCAAGTAGAAATGCATTCTAATAATATTTCATGTAAAGCTCAACTACTCAACAATCTCATTACTAAAAATATTATTTCTGGGGAAACCCAGAAATAATTTAAAATATCCTCTAAGGAGTTAGTGAAGTCCTCCGACTGCAAGATAGACATCAGACTTATTACCCATAGCAGAACCTCTCCATTTCTAATTCAAAGGGTATTTACACTTTCTCAACAATTTGATCTCAATAGGTGTGGTTTGTTTGCTTTTGCAATTCCAAAATAGATTAAATGCCGGAAACTAGAATGGCAAAAAGGAGCTCACTGACACCAGTTAGAACAGGGAGTACTTACCCAATGGCATGTGAAGGACAAGAAGAATTACAATAATGAGATATCAAATCTAAGAAAGCAAAGCAGTCTGGGGTCATTTACAACAGAGACAGAGAGCCCTGTGAACTCATATTGAAAATGACTTAGTGCAGTACCAAGTATTTAGCCGAGTGCGATCACTCGCCTTTACTAGCCTGGATCATCGAGTGTGCTCTCTGTCCTCTTCATGAGTAAGGTCAGAGGCGTCCATAGGTCCTTCTACCCCAGAGCAGTGCAAACTTGTTCCTGTCCTTCCACACTAGTGGCAGTAGGATTGGCAGGCAGGTTCCTGCAACTACAGCAATGTTCAGCATTAACCACATGAGATGCTCAGGAGACATAGCTATTATTTCTGCCACTTCCCAGGACTTACTTCCTAAAGGAGAATCATAGTATGTATTTCTAATTGTGTATAAAGATAAAATGACACTGTAGAATATTTATACAATCAAAGAAAAGGATACCTGTATTCAATTATTTTCTCTTTCTGCATATTCCCTTCCAAAGTAGTCTATACAAATATTTATGCTATATAGTTTGCATGATTCTGGTTTTATATAGTACCACATCACTGAAAGTTTTCCTTATCATACCCACTATTTTTTAAACCATCCGTGTTTTCAGTACCTATTTCATCAGGCTGTTGAACTATGATTCGAATAACTTCTTAGTGTGCATTTTTAAACATCAAAGCTGTAGCCTCTAAACCTAGTTTTACTGTTGTTTAAGAATATAACATCTCAAACCAAGTTAGAGATGCATCAAAACGTAGAAGACGAACTACAGAGAGAAAACTTGGCTGCAGAACAGCGCATGGTCCATAGAATCCAAAGGATCATGATGGAGTGCCACAAGGAGAAGATCGAGGCTGTGGCGAAAGCCAGGGACGAAGAGAGGCAGCTGGCCCAGGAAGCCATCCTGGCCCAGAAAAGGTATTCCAGAGATCACACTTGCAAATTGGCATCTTGTTCTGTCAAAACCAACTTGGAGAAAGGGATAAGACTGAGGCACACAGGTGGATAGTTCCCAGTTACTGTGTTTTTACATTATGGAATATATCATAGAGAATAATATGCAAAGCATTGTGGAGTGTGTGTGTGTGTGTGTGTGTGTGTGTGTGGTTTAAAAAAATAACATGAATACTCAGACCAACCACCCCTCTGAAGGGGTTGGAAATTGGTAACACTTCCTCTCCTCCCTCTCAAAAAATAACTACTGTCCTAAATGTTGTTTTTCATTCTGTATACTCGGTTTTAAGAGGCTGAGGAGAGGAATTGAGAAATATTTTTTTCACAACACATAGAAGTCAATCTTCACATTTTTTAGCCTATAACGTATACTATTATGGATGTGTTCATTTTTTTATCTTATTGCACATTGTAGATGAAACTGACATTATGAAAATATATAGAGCAAATTTGCTAAGTTCTGACTCACTGCTTCCCAACTCTCCCTGTCTTCCAGAGACAATCATTTTAAATAATTGGGTCTGTGTCTTTCCATGCCCTGTATTTTAAAAAATATTTTTATTGATTTCAGAGAGGAAGGGAGAAGGAGAGATAGGTAGAAACATCGATGATGAGAGAGAATCATTGAAAGGTTGCCTCCTGCACGCCTCCTATCGGGGATCAAGCCCACAACCCCAGGCATGTGCTCTGACTGGGAATTGAACCATGACCTCCTGGTTCATAGGTCGATGCTCAGCCACTGAGCCATGCCGGCCGGGCTTTCCATGCCCTTTCAGTGTGTTTGCAGCCTTAATATATATGTGCACAATCACAAATAGTTTTTACGTGAATCAGACAACATTTTTTTTTTAAAGAATATTTGGTGGAATGAGCTAAAACAAGACAGCAGTAAAGAGCCCTAGTGATTATCAGGACCAAGGAAACCACAGTTTCTACATGTTAAGTGACCTTCCCAAGATCACTTAACTGTAGCAGCAGAACAAGACTGAAACCTCTGTATCTGGCTTCCTAGTCTCGGACTTATCTCTTTTGCTCTGCTCCTTGAGTTAACAAATAGATCCATTTGTACATGATTAACAGGTAAAGTCTTCCTTGTTAGGACTGTTTAGAACAGGGCCAAAGGTAAAATCCTGTAGGATTATTATTCTGCAGGTCAATAGGAATGAGGGCTGCAGCCGTGGCCATTTCTTGCCTCGGTGATAAATCATCGTAGATCATTGTTGAGAGGGACGAGGAAGGTGAAAGAGATTTCAGGAGAAAGTTAGAGAAGGTGGTAACTCCCAAATGAGTGTGGCCCAGTGCAGTGGGAAGTGACGCCCTCTTCGCCCTGTCCCTCACCCTCCATCTACAGGAGCCTCCCCGTCCTGCAGGAGCCTCTGGGCCCACTCCTCACACCGGCAGCTTCTGCTCCTTCCTCACTCCGTTGCTTTCACCCCCTCCATTTTCGCTGTGAGGTTTGAATGAAAGATTTTCAATGGCCCCCTTTTATTAAATCAGTTGACGAGGATTAGGGAACGTCCATGCCTGTTAAGTATAACCAACTGGAAGGCCCATTTTGTTCATTGATGTGTTCCAAATGCCTGGAAGAGAGCCTGGCATGTGGTAGGCATTCTTCAAATATTTGTCAAGCAAAGGTTCAGATATGTTCCAGTCAGCTGAACCCACTCCAGATTCCGGTGTTCTTTAGAGCATTGCAGAAATTAGTATAGACAGAAGATCCACTGTTTAGAATTCTGCCTGTAGACCTTTTATTTGTCTGTAAACTTTCACTTAAGACGTAAGGATTCAGAATTCGTACATATTATGACAAACCTGTTAAATGCACAGAAAACTTTTTTGTGGGTTGAGGTGATTAGATTCTAAACAGATTATCTAGGAGATACTAAAAAAAAGGGAAAAACAAGAAAGAACCTTTGCTTGGAAAGGTTCTACACAAAGAAGCATAGACATTCCCTTCCCCTGGGGAGGGGCGTTGGAGGTCATTGAGTTGAGCTGCCATCCTTCCTGCTGGCTGCCTGCCAGGCGTGGGGAGCCCCCTAAGTGCTTCCGTGATAGGAATGCTATGGCTGGTGGAGGTGGTTGGTTCCAATGCTGAACGCCTCTACCTAAAGTGGATCCAAAATATGCTGAGTCTGCCCTCAGTGCACGGTGATCCTTCAGATTTTTGAGGAGAGAGATACTGTCCAAGCTTTAGTGTGAAGGGAAGGAAAAGCCAAAAAGTATTTGTAAACCAGCTGCTTCAGTCCTTCCTCATATGATATGATTTCCAGGCCCACTTTTAGGGGGAAAAGGTGGATAGATTATATAAATTAAAAAAAATTTTATATATATGACAAGAACTATTTTCTTATGGTGAGTATTTTGCTTATGCTGAGAATCCTTTTTAAACATGAATTGTTTAGGCTTTTGTAATACTCTAATTTAGCTGTTTTAAAATGTGGTGTTATTTGGCACACAAAAAAGTATTGAGGGAACGACACCTGTATTACCCATTTCACACATTTATTGGTTGCCTGTTGTATACACACTGGGCACCATGCCAGGCAGGGGAGATACAAAGATGAATGGACACTCCAGGCCCTCTGCCTCCCCCTCTCCATGCCCCGAACCCTCCTCCCTCCTGGCTTCCATTCCACAACTTCAAAGAAGTCCTCAGAATTAAAGCCAGACACTTCCTGACCTTAAATCAAAAGGTGTGAATCCCAAAGGGTCAAAAATTCAGGCCCTAAGGCAGGCCGGGAAAGTTGAGAAGGGCATTCCAAAAAATAGAGAGAGACCAGATCCTCGTAGCAAGAACAGATTTTGATAGTAAGTCATTTAAAGTGGGTTATATCATGGAGGGTAGGAGTCCGAGTCACCTAAGATGCACTTTATTTGAGCAGTTTTACCTGAGATCATCTCTGGTGGAGCCTTCGAGTCAACCTCATAGATGAACACCTCCTCTGTGGGGCCAGGAGAAAGCCAGGCCTGCTGGCCACAGAGCACAGCTTCCTCCTTGGGGGTTTGGGGATGGCTCAAGGAAGCTTCCTCTAGTTCAGCGGTTCTCAACCTGTGGGTCGCGACCCCTTTGGGGGTCGAACGACCCTTTCACAGGGGTCGCCTAAGACCATCGGAAAACACATATATAATTACATATTGTTTTTGTGATTAATCACTATGCTTTAATTATGTTCAATTTGTAACAGTGAAATTGGGGGTCACCACAACATGAGGAACTGTATTAAAGGGTCGCGGCATTAGGAAGGTTGAGAACCACTGCTCTAGTTCCTTCTGTCTGAGCCCCAGGGCCTGGTCATCACCTTCACAATCTCCCACCATACTGCAGATTTCATCAAACATCAGACTAAACCCTAAGGCAGCGGTTCTCAACCTATGGGTCGCGACCCCTTTGGCGGTCAAATGACCCTTTCACAGGGGTCACCTAAGACCATCCTGCATATCAGATATTTACATTACATTTTATAACAGTAGCAACATTACAGTTATGAAGTAGCAACGAAAATAATTTTATGGTTGGGTCACAACCTGAAGAACTGTATTTAAAGGGCCAGAAGGTTGAGAACCACTGCCCTAAGGTGTGGGCAGATGCACACTCCCACCTCTGTCGTGCTGTCCCTACCATAACAGCGCCTCCGCTCTCCTGTGACCCAGGCTGAGAATCGGGAAGGTGGTTTTGATTCCTCCTCTTCCTGCCTCCACTATCCCCTAGCAGTCATAACTTCTGGCACTTAACGACTGTGTAATATTTCTTGGATTTATCCCTTTCTTTCTTCCTATTTCTTTCTCTCTCACCATGCGTTCAGACCCTAACTTTGCACTCTCAGAATATTACAAAATAGTATAAATTGGTCTCTTTATCCTATGTAAGATTCCATTTACCTGATATTGCTAGAATTACAATTCTAAAACATTATTATTACAGTATTACCCTTCCCCCTATATAAAATTTATAGTGGCCTCTTACATGATTGAAGCAGGTAATGGTGAAGGGCAGGAACTATCCCACCTTCTCAATTGTGTGACATTGAACAAGAACTAGATCTCTAAGCCTTAATTTTCTCACCTGTTACATGGGATATAAGAGATAATGAATAAAAATCATACCAGCTTCAGTGGGTTATTGTTAAAATTAAATGGAATGGAATGCATGTAAAATATATAGCATTGTCCCTGGGACATAGTAAATACTCAGTAAATGTTAATCCTTGTTATTAATGATGGATATAGCCTAGTTGCTGGGAAAAGGAGAAATAGCATAGCAGCTAGAGAGGTTAAGGACAGCTTTTTTTCTACTAAGCCATTTGTCCTTAACCTCTTACCTCAAGACTAGAGAAGTCTGTCAGGTTTGAAAGTCAAGTTTAAAGATCAGAGATAATGAGAACTAATTGCATCTTGGGGGATCAACTTTAGAAGAAAGGCGAGGTGGTTGAAACAATATGAAAATCTTGGAAAGACTGTATTAGTCTAGGAGACAGAGGGGGAGGGTTTTTAGTAACAACCATAAATATTTAAATCCAAATTTATAGGTGTTTTTAAATTTTCAAATCTTCAGAGGTTCTACCAAACTAGGTTAACCAGAGACACCCATTGGAAGTACTTCACAGTGGCTACGAGCCACTCAGACTGCCTGGGTCTAGGTGCTCATTTTGCCGCTTTGACTAATTACGTGAAATTGGGCAAGTTACTTGGTCTCTCTGAGCCTGTTTCCTGGTCAGTAAAGTAGGTATAACAATAGGCCCACCTCATGGGGTTGTTTTGAGGAATCATTAACTCAATATATATGCACAGGATGCTCATTAACCTGCCTGGCACATGGTAAGAATTCAGTACAGTAGGCTGCTATAAATTATATCTAATTACATACATTGTAGCTACAGGTCAGCAGTAGTTCTCAAAGTGTGGTCCCCAGACCCTTTTGGGGGCCCATGAGGTTAAAGCTACTTTCTTAATAATACTAAGGTGTTATTTACCTTTTTACTCTCATTATCTACAGAATATATAGTGGCATTTTCCAGGATTTTCTGATGTGTGATATCACAACAGATTGTAACAATATGAAAATCCAGCTTTTTTTCTACTAAGCCAGACAGTAAAGAGTTTTTTAAAAAATGTAAAATTATGTCACTTTTCTTACCAAAAGTTGTTATGATTTGGAAAATATACTTTTCATAAAAGTTATGTTAATATTGAATGGATTTACTAATACTTTATATGAATTTATAAATATTTTTGTCTTACTCTTAATTTCTAATACTGTTAGTGTCACTAGATATAACCCATATAAACAAAAGTTCCTTGGTCATTTGAAGAACAAAAAGAGATTTCGAGACCAAAAGGTTTGAGTCAGCTGTCATAGAGTATTGCTCAGATAAAATAAAAATCAGAGCTCAACCTGACTTGTGAGTACAGTGTTTTCCCTTCTGGCTAAAGGGAGATAGCTGGATTGATATACAGAAATACTTTCTCGCCCGACCACCAGGGCTCAGTGGTTGAGCATCATCCTGCGAACCAGGAGGTCATGGTTCAATTCAGGGCACATGCCTGGGTTGTGGGCTCGATCCACAGTGTGGGGCGTGCGGGAGGCAGCCAATCAATGATTCTTTCTCATCATTGATGTTTCTATCTCTCCCTCTCCCTTCCTTTCTGAAATTAAAATATATATATATATTTTTAAAAAGAGAAATACTTTCTCTAGGAATTTGGAAATTTGACCCAGTTCCTCCTCCTCCTCCTCCTCCTCCTCCTCCTCCTCCTCCTCCTCCTCCTTCTCTTCTTTTGTGTTAATCCTCATCCGTGGGTATTTTTCCCATTGAGTTTTAGACCCATTGAGTTTTAGAGAGAGTGGAAGGGAGGAGAGTGGAAGGGGGAGAGACAGAGAGAGAGAAACATCAATTGGTTGCCTCCTGCACATGCCCCAACTGGGGCCAGGGATCAAGCCTGCAACCAAGGTACATGCCCTTGACAGGAATCAAACCCATGACCCTTCAGTCTGCAGGCCGATGCTCCAACCATTGAGCCAAACTGGCTAAGGCTGTATCTTCATTTTCAAGCACGCTGCACTCATATTTTTCTGGCCAAGGTGGACTTGGGTTCCTAAAGTTACTGCCAGACACTAGACTGGTGGCTTCTCCTTAGCCCACAGTGGGGAAGTCCATGGACGACCTCCCTGCTCTGAAAAATGTTTTTTGATTGTTAACAGCTAATGGAATCCAGAAGCCCATCTCTACCAGCCTGTCTCAGCCTGGTGTCTCACCTAAACAATGCAATAAATTCTCATACAACCGTGCTGAAAGACAAAATCTTTCTGTTTTTAGTGGCTAGTCCGTCTAACTTAAAAACCCATATTATCTTTTGTAGGAAGGTCATGGATGAATTTATGAGTGCTGGTATTACCGTTGTTAAGGATGAGAGGAAGAGTGTGAGCAAATTGGTAAAGGAAAAAGAACATGAAATGAACATCTACTATTGCATGGCTCAGAGGCAGAAGCAGGAAGAAGTCCAGGAAGTGCTTCAAGAAGCAGAGAAAGCCCATCAGGCCACACTTGGAAATGTGATGAATAAACTGGTTAACACTCAGGACGAGCTGGTGTCGGTAGCACAACAACTGGGAATTATGACAAATTGGAAAGATTTCTTGGAGGAGGAATTACAAGAAACGAGAATGGCATTTCAAAAGTACATCAATTTTACATTTCCTAAACTTGCACCCGGACAAGCAGATTTTATTCTTCCAGAAAGAAAGAAAACACCTTCCAATCTTATTATTCCGAGGGAAGCAACTCGTAAGTAATCCTCTTCAACTGAGACTTCACTACCAAAGACGTTGTTCCAAAGTCTAAATAAATTCACACAAAAGTCATTTATTGATCCCTGGTTATTGGTACTATTCTGAGCCTTTTGGTGGAAAATAAAAATATTCCAAAGCACATTTCAGGCTTCAGTGAGTTCCAAGTCTAATTGAGAGAGAAAAGTGAGAGGGCTCAAAACTGATTAGGAGGGAAAAAGTTTTCTTGGAAGAAGTCTAAACAAACTTCTGTATCTGACTTTATTCATGTTTTCATCAGACAAGTAATGATGTTAGTGTTTGTTGCAGATGAAAACAAGTGAAGGAACATGTTTTTAGATCATTCCCATTGTGGAGAGGTGGACTAATTTCCAGTAGAGTACTTGGTGAACTACAATAGCACTGTAGGGGAAAAAGCAATTCCCCTGAAATTCAATAGGATAAAATTTAAATTATGGGAACCCTGTATGAAATAATTCAAAAAGGTCTCACTTACATGTGCTAGTTGTGAAAACTATGTCTTTAGAGGACTGACTCCCTGCCTCAGGGATGGGGGAGTCCTCTTGTGTTTATACCCAAACCCAGGATTTCTTTGGAAACGCAGAAAAGCATTAATTACCACAATACTCAGGACCAACATGCATCAACGTCTATTAAATTAAAATGGAAGAAAACACAAGCCATAAAGACTTCTCCCAAGATCTATCCACTCTAATGTAACATCCTTAAATTATTCCTCATTAACCTATATTGGTGGCTTTAAAATTAATAACTTGGAAAGCAATTTCCAGTAAGTTGAAAAGTTATATTTTCGAGCAAGACTTAGGTGGATTTGTTTCCATTGAGCAGTGTGGACTATTTTCATGGGAAAGCAGCAATTTGTTTAGAGTTGTATAATGGACTACACTCTCCTCCGTGTTTAGCTCTCTGATAGTGCGGGACTACTGCAGTCCATACTCATTGATTGCCTAGGAGCTGGAAGTGACGTTTATACTAATATAGTGCTTTGTGTTTTCATGCACATTCTTCTCATAAGAACCTGTGAGATAGGATAGCGGTTATTGTTACCCCGTTGTTTAAAGATGATAACAATTACTACATACTAAGGTATTTACATGTGTGAAGGACTTAAAAAACATTAATATTTAATCCTCACAACAACTTTTGAAGGTAAATATTATTGCCCCCAATTTGTAGGAAAAGAAACCAAGGCTCAGGGAGGTTTAATAACTTGTCCCAGGGTACAGTTAATGACAGAGCCAGAGTTTGAAATATTACAAGGCTCAGGCATGAGCATATGAGTGCCCCAAACTAAAAATAATGTCCAATAGTTGGTAAATAGATAAACAAATTGTGTCATACCCATGCAAGAGAATATTACTCAACATTAACAAGTAATATCTTATTGATACAACGATATAAAGAATCTGAAATACATTAAGATACCTTTAAAAATTTATCCTCAAAAGACTGTATGATCCAATTTATATGAAATTTTAGAAAAGGCATAACTCTCATAACAGAAAGAAGGTCAGTGATTGCCAAGAGCCAGGGAGTATGGTGACAAAGGACTCAACTGAGAAGGAGCATGAGGAAACTTTTTGGGATAGTGGAAGTTATAATTTTGGTTATGATTACACTGCTGAAGACATATTTTCAAGATGCATCTAATTGTGCAGAAAATTAGTGAATTTTATTATGTATATTAGACTTCTATAAAGCTGACTTTTAAAAAAAATCATAAGTACCCCAGAATGGAAGAAATCCTGCAAATGCTCCTATTCTGGCTTCTCACTTGTACATTATCGCAGCATAGTGGTTTGCATTAAGGCTTCCTAGGTATAAATCCTGGTCTATCAGCTGGTAACTGGCTGACTTTAGACAAATGGCTTATTAAGGTTTTTTCATATACAAAATGGAGATAATAATTGTACCCAGACCATGGGGTCTTAGAAAAGATTCAGTAAGACCTGAGTCAAAGAATGTACTCCAAACATTAGTTACTAGTTTTCATCCCTACAAAAATGAGACCACAAGGCATATATGGTTTCTGCATATCTCATGCAAATCCTACAGCCATTCTAATTTTAAGAATATACCCATTTAGTTTATTTTATTTATTCAGTCTTTTGTGTTTATATATAAATATTAATTATGGCTTATCTACTGCTTATAGATTTAAAGATATATTTAGTCAATGATGAGCAGAACTTTTTTTAAATTTTAGCTTTAAAAATTTAATCTTATGATGCCTACTGACATGTATTTTAAAATTCTTTTACTCAGTTTCTTTTTTCTTTTTCACCCTGTGGAGTATGTTTATTGATTGTCTGCTAAGGGATGGAAGGAAAGCTACAAGTCAGACCATGTACTTCACCTGAGTGGGTACGTAGATAGCAGTCGTGTGTGAATCTTGAACCACTCAGGTGGAAAGTATGCTTATAAACTGAGAGGGCAGGATCACAACATGCGGTTTGAATTGGAATGACTGCTTGATTATTTCAGGATTATAAGACTTTTCTGTCTAAAAGAAGTTAATAAAAAGAGTATTATGGTAAGTCCCTTATGGTTTTGAACAAACCACTTTAAAATATGCTATAACATGAACTGATAGGAAAAAATGAATAGAGGGACATCAGGATTGCTGGGCTCAGAGCCGGGAACAACAGCCCAAGGCAGTCACGAAGGTATGACTGTTCCTGCACCAGAAGAAAGAATTCGATCAGAAAGAACTGATGTGGGTCGATTTATTGAGCAGGTGATTTGCTTCCCTGGGTTCTTGTCCTGATGGATTTGAAGAACGAAGCCACGGACAAAAGGTGAGAGGTGAAAAGCACAGAAACTGTATTGCAAGCAGACACTACCTCCAAAACCTAATTCTAAATTCTAAGCCTCAGAGTCTGTCCCTCCTGGACGGACAGAGGGGCCCCTGAGAAGGGTGACTGCTGCGTTCTTGTCTTGAGGCATTAATGTAGTTCTTTGTCTGAACCTGACCCCTTCTTATTGGTCATTCTGCTACATAGAATTAGTTTTCAGAGCTCAAAGCCCACATGGTGTCCCCTGGAAGGTGTCCCCCACCTTTTCTCCCCCTTATCTTGTTGGTTGGAGTCACTGTTGATTTATCTTATAGCTCTCCCAGTTGTGTTGGCAGAGAAAGCCTTATCCTATGGCCCTCCCAGCTACTCAGGTCAGGGCTACTTATGGCCTAATTTATGGTCACTTTAATTGCTCAGGCCAGAGCTGCCCCTGTCTGTCCTCGGTCTATGGCTGTCTTAATTGCACAGGCCAGATATATTTCTATTTGCCCGTGGCATTTCTCTATCCTCTGTACAAGTAAGATAAACACCCTGGTGTCTTCAAGTCTCATTCCTTCCCATGGACCATTTTCATTCCTAGAACTCCCTAATCCTGCCTACTTTACTCCTAAAACTCCTTTCAGAATTAGCTCACAGATAAAACAGGAAGAGACTTTGTTGACCAGTGATTTCAATATGCTTACTGGCAGTAGCTAAGATTAGAGCTGGAGACTATGGAAGTTATACAAACCCACAGAAACATCCCAGGGCTACTATTGCTGTTGGTCTTGGCCTTGGTTTTGGCATTATTTGAGAAGTAGTGGACAGTGTGATTCTAAATTTCAGATGGAAAATAAGCAGCAAGAGTATTCAGGGAAATTCTGATAATAAATGCACATGGAACTAGTCTTTTCACTTTATGCCACTAGATACTGACACAGCAGCTCTGGGGTGTGCACAGACACTAGGATCAGTGGCACAGAATAGAATTTCTGACTCAACTGTAAAGGGATAAGGAAAACAGGGATATTATCCCAAACGATATTCAATTTTGAAGCTCCTTAATGTAACTTATGAATTTAGCATATGGTGAGATGGCAACTTAAAGTAGTAAAAAAAGGATGACTTATTCAATTAATGGTTTGGGGCGAATGGATAGTGATTGAGGACAGAAATTCTCGAATCTTATCTCACAACACATCAAAATATATTCCAGGTGAATCAAAGGTTTAAAAGTAAAAATGAAACTCCAAAAGTATTAGAGGAAACTATTTTGAGGATGTTTAAGTAAATCAGATTGAAAAAGGCCTTCTATGTTTGACACAATCTAGAAGAAATAAAGTATGAATAAAAATGATGAATTCAACTTTATTTAAAAAAAGGTGTGTTTTTTAAGCCTGCTAGGCCAAAAATTATAAGCAAGGCCAAAACACCACAGACTAGGGAAAAATATTTGCATTTCCTATCACAGACAAAGGGCTAATTTCTGTACAATAAAAAGAACTCCTAAGAATAAGAAATAAACAATCCTATAGAAAAATAGATTAAAAATATAAATAGAAAAAGAATCAAACATTATTTAAAGTTAATGGAAAAAAATGTTCCAATCACTCAAAAAGAATGCAAATTAAAATTACATCAAGAATTCATTTTCTATCAGATTAGCAAAGCTAATAAAATTATAAAACTGTATTGGTGAAAATGTGAGAAAATAGTATATTGCTGGAGGGAGATTTGAACAAAGACTAGAAGGAGATGAAGGAATTAGCCCAAAGAGTATCTGAGAGAAAAGAGCTCCAGGCAGAGGGAGCTAGAGTAAAGGCCTGGGTATGTGTCTGCTGAGCACTGGGAACATGAGAGAGGTGGGTGAGGCTGAGCAGAATGATCCAAAAGGGGAAGTAGAAAGAAGGTGAGGAAGATCATGGGATCACTGCAGGGCCTTGTTAAGACTAACTTTTATTCTGAGTGACCAGGGATCCATTGTAGGGTTTGGAGGCCCAGAGTGGCATCTTGTGACTTAAAATTGAAAAGGATCCCTCTAGTACAGTGGTTCTCAACCTTCCTAATGCCGCGACCCTTTAATGCAGTTCCTCATATTGTGGTGACCCCCAACCATAAAATTATTTTCGTTGCTACTTCACAACTGTAATTTTGCTACTGTTATGAATCGTAATGTAAATATCTGATATGCAGGATGTATTTTCATTGTTACAAATTGAACATAATTAAAGCATAGTGATTAATCACAAAAACAATATGTAATTATATATGTGTTTTCCA